TCCTTAAAAAATTCTGATTCAAAATTGAATTGAATCGAACGAGTTTTCCTTTTGAGTCATTTCAAATATTCATGAGAAAGAAAAAAATTCTAGCAATTTCAAATATTTTTGATTTGATTGAATTCAAAAGTGTCACAAATATTCAATGAGAAAGAGAAAAGAGATCGAATATGTTGTTTCTGAGCGAATAGTCAAGCAATATTTCGTTAAGTACAAAGATCAGCATCCGGAAAAAAATAAATGGGTATATCAAAATGAGATTCCGCAAGAAATATTTGAAAAATATCTAGAAACGAAGAAAACAGAAAATATTGATGAAATGTTACGCTGTACTCGAATTGTTCATGTTGTTGATCAAGATAAAAAAGAATTTTATCTTGAATTTTCAAAAAAAAATCAAATTCATCACATATTAAACAAGAATCTAGATGAAGAACATCAAAAGGCTTATATAGATTATCTTGAAAGTTTACTCAAACTTGAAATAAAAAATAAAAATTAAATTAAATTAACCCTCGTTAGGATATCGTTGCAAATAAAGATCTGTTTCTCAGAAAGATCCTGATTTTCTGATAAATATTCTGTTGTAACTTCTACAAGGTTTAAGATATGAAAAACATTTTTGAATATTTCATCGCTATCAAATCTGCGGAAACATCTGGAATATAATTTCAAATATTTGTGAAGATTTGAATTCTCAATTGCATAATTAATTAAAAATTCATGTGAATTTAAAAAATCGGTAGATGAAATTTGCATGGGTATAAGAGGAAGTACACAATAATACCCCTGAACTACATACTCTGTAAATGAATAGTGAGGAGAAAGACTTCGCAGAATTTCAAGTGTTTTTATGAATTCTAAAGCCATCTCAGATGTTATATCGACTGCTTTATAAAATAAAACTATAAATTTGAGAAGATAAACAAAATCTTCGTTATTTATAATTGAATTCACGTCATTAAAAAAGTTGAAATAATTTGATATTAGTATATCCGAACATGGAAGAGCAGTTGCATATCCTGGGTAATATTTTAATAATTTTGTAAAGAAATTTGCAATTGCATAAGTTGAATATTGATTTTCGTACTCAATAATACTAGAAAAAATTTCTTTCTTGAGTAAAACTGCGTTTTGGAAGAATTCAACGTCAAGAATATTGTTTTTAATCAAAGCAATAAATGTATCGATGATATAGAGAGAATTGTCACTGCTGCTTATGAAACGTAATATCTCATCATATTGATCGGAAAATGTTGATAAATAAAGGTATTGTATGTTATCTAAAGCTTTAAAATGAATTAATTTTAATGAAAAAATGAAAAAAATCTGGTTAATATAATGCGATAAATATTCGAATAAATTTTCCAGTAGTATCAAATCTATTTGAAAGATATTCGAAGAAGTGATATTTTGAATTGTGAATTTTAATATTGTTTCATTTTGTGTAGATTGCTCGATAATGAAATGTATCAAAAGATTCATTGAATATGAGTCAATGGAAAAGCTTAAATCCTTAGGGATATCCAAAATAAATCTTAATAAAGAAGATTCGTCTTGAAAATTAGCTTCCGAAAGTTCTATTTCAGTCGGAGCTGGAAGATTCCGATCATTTATGAATCTCGAAACGACAGAAAATTTGTATTGTTTATATTTCATTATTCGAAATGATAAACTTCAAAATCTAAAATTTATTTTTTTACAATATATTTCATCCTATTGTCAAGGCTAAATTTTTCACCGGAAGTGTATCAAAAATTGATAAGATTTACGGTGATCTAATTATGACAATTCAATGCATCTCGTGATATAACGCAGATATAAACACAACTGATATTGCATAACTAATAATTGAGTCAAATAACTAAATTATGTGTTATATTTTACACATATTTCTTCAATTTTGTAATAAATGGATGTTTAACACTAATTTTTTAAGGACTTCGACTTTAGCATCACATAAATATGTTATTTTCTATATTAAAACGTAATTTTGGTGGTCTTAGAATAGAAAAATATGCAATATTCGTGGAGATAATGAGGGTTCTTAAACATGTTCTTAAAAATAAATAAAATAATACAAATCTTTATTCAATCTTTTGATATTGTTGGTCCTCTCTTTGTGAAAATACTTAACTTCAAAGAGTATTATGTTTTACCTAGTGAGGACCTTAAGTTTGCAAAAACATAATAAAAGTAAAATAAAAAAGATCGGATTTATCACAAAACTTTGAGTATTATAGGATTTAATATATTTTCTTAGTAGATTATATGATTTAGTTTCTTAAAATCTAAAGTATTTCTTGAGGAAAATATAAATTGAAATTCAAAAAGTAAAAAAAATGTAAACAAATCAAATTTTAAATGGACCAAATGTTGATTTTTCATTCGTTTTCTCATTATCGAAAAAAATTTGGAAAGCTAAGAAGTCAATAACAAGTTATATAATACAACAAAACCACATCGGATATGTTTTCATCAAATAGTCTCCTAGATTTGTTATGAAATTAAAATATCATGATATTTTAAGGGCTTTTGATTTCAATATTAGAATTATTCAGTTATGTCGTGCTAATATCAATTGCTTTATACAATTAATCGTTTACAAGCTGAAATCGAACAATAATTTGACTTTGTAAAAAAAGTGCGTCATTTTTATTCGTACTTACAAAATGTAAACATTACGAGAAACATTACATTGTAAATGTAACAAGTAAAATCGCATAATTTGACTTTGTAAAAAAAGTGCGTCATTTTTATTCGTTCTACTTACAAAATGTAAACATTACGAGAAACATTTACATTTGTAAATGTAACAAGTAAAGTTGTATCGCATAATTTGACTTTGTAAAAAAAGTGCGTCATTTTTATTCGTTTACTTACAAAATGTAAAACATTACGAGAAACATTTACATTTGTAAATGTAACAAGTAAATACATCAGATTTAAATTGTAAATGTAGTTTATCTCTCTCATCTCCTTTTTAAAAGGTATTACATACATACGAACGCATGGGTAACTCAATAATTAGCGTGATAATAATTGAGGATAGACTGTAATCGTAATTTTATTTTTGGACTTATATTTCGACATTTTGAAGTCGCTTGAAAGTCTTGCAAATGATTAAATTTGGAAAATTTGACCTAAGTCTGCATTATTTTGATGACTTAAACAATTCTATAAATCTGTTTTCCTAAAAATTTAAAAAGATATAATTTCAATTTCCCTAAATTTATGTAATTCATATATCACCAAAATATTTAGACTGCATTTCGTTTGTCTGCACCTAATTAAAGTCTAAATACCAATTAATTTTGGAGTTGCATTGCTTTTAATGTAAAAATGCACGTTTAGAAAAAGACGATAACAATTAAATTACAAAATCGATAACGACGACGATTAAATTACAAAATCGATAACCTCTCTCATTTTTTTGATTTTGAAAAAAATTTGGAGAGAAGAACTCTTCGTTTTTGAATTTTGTCACGATGGTTTTAAAGTATATTAGACACATGTATTGATATTACTATTTTTGTATATTTTGAGAGAAAATCCCTAAAAAGTGAGAAAATCTGAGACGGTTTGGGAAAATATATAAACTATTGAAAATTTGAATTAAACTTCTAATTTGGAAAAAAGAAATTTGGAAAGAAGAAAATTCAAAAATCGAGATTTAGACTCAGTATCAAATGGAGAACAAAATGTTTCTTCATATGAAGGAAAAAATTTTCTTGAGAAGAAATAGAGTTTTTAAAATTTTATTGTATGTAATGAAATAAACAAATATTAAAATTATTTTTTGATAACAAGAAAATTCCCAACAGAAAATATTTGAGACAAAGAAAAAAAGAAAATTGAAAAATATTACTCTCCTTTACATTTCATGAGATTTTCAATTTATTTTCATAAAATTGACAATTTTATACGTTTAGATGAAAATAAGTGATTTTGCTTGAAATAAAAATTATTGTTTGTTTACAGCTATCAAATAGATTTTTGCTATTTTGATTAAAATTTGTTAATCAAATTAATAATTTTTTTTCTAAATATCTTAAATATCTGGATCACTCACTGATACGATGAATTAAACGATAAAAATAATACAAACTCAACTAAGTTTCCTGTCTTTCAACCAAAAAATATTATGCAATTTAAATTAAATTGTTTATTCAAAGATAAAACAAAGATAAAGTAATTATAATTATCATATACTTTATGAATAACTCTCTAATTGGATAAGATTTTCGTACAAATATTTTTATTAATATCGATAAGAATATGTTTACCTACTATCACCATATGTCGATAAACGAGAGTAGAGTGATTTTTATCATCGAAACTTTTTAAAAACTGTAAGCAGGAAGTAATAATCTTGTTTTTTCTGAGTTAGTTGTAGAACTATTGATGCCCGAGTTATCATTGTGATGCAGAAGGATATCAATGTACTGACTAAAGGATATGAAGTGAATTGAATTTCATTGCATTTCAATTTGATCAAAATTTGTTGAAATGATATGAATGTGTCAACTTCTGTATCATTCTCCTTCACTCCTTCCTTATTCTTTCGAGAACGAAGCTAGCTCAGCTTTCGCTGAGCGAATTGACAATTTTCATGCCCTAAACGTACATACTCTCAAATTTATCGAAAAAATTAATACCACCTAAACTAGTATATTCTTATTTTAAATATGATATTATCCTTATATTCCACACTAAAAAAAAAAAAAAAAAAGGTAGTGGGGCCTCCAGGCACTTCGTGCCCTCTAGCCCTGAAGATGTTTAGTATAACTTTGTCCGGACAAGTAAGGGTCTATCGTCGCTACAGGAAAAGTTACCGGCGTTCCAAGGAAGTATACTTTGAGAAGCCTTTTCCCCCTTATAGAATGAGATCGGACGGTTATTTTACAAAACTGACAACACTTTGACCGAGTAGTTTTTTGTGCTGAACAAAAAGTGTCATATAAACATCTGTCAAAAACCGCTTTTTTACTTCACTTAAAATGCCACGTAAGCTACGTAAGAATATACGTAAGAGGAAGAGAGCATTGAAACATCCAATAGTAAAACTGACACCACAACAACAGTTGCAACAACAAATAATGAATGACCCCACTATGTTGCAACAAATGTCAAGCAACCCTATGCTCTTAAACCGAGTTATTGGTGCACAGAGTGGAGGTTTAAGAGCGGCACTTTTAGCGAAAATGGCAGGCTATGGTGGAGCTGCAGACGGAACAGCTTATAACCCTCAAAGTCAAATGAATTTGAGTTCACTCAAAAATCAAATAACAGATGTCAAAAAGTCAAACATAGACATACAGAAACAAATAAGTGAAAACGAAAAGAAACTAGAATATGACAGACACACAAAGAAACTCAATGAGTTAAACGTAGAGAAAAAGAAGAAAGAAGAACAACTGAAAGAACTAAGTACAGAGGAATATGCGAAAAAAGTGTCAGAAAAAGCAGCAGAAGTAGCAAAAATGGAACAAGATGTTATAAATTTGAAAAACCATACTACTCAATATAAAGTACTGAAAGATGAAGAGATAAAACAAAAAGCCCTGAAGACATATATGGATAGCGATGAGTATAAAAAAGAAGTTGAAGCAAATGTAAAGGCAGAAAAACTTTTACAGTTGCAAAACCAAACCGTACAGTATGAAAACTTAGCACAAGAAAGTAAAAATAACGACGCAGCCATGCAAAAGGCAATGAAAAGCGCAGAATATATAAAAGCTAACAATGACTGGTTAGATGCCCAAGCCAACGCTAAAGCAGCCCAACTTATAGGGTCAATAAGGACAAAAATACAAGCGGATGAAGACAGTTCAAATGAAGCTTTAATGAATGCTGACTTTAAGAACGCCTTCGAAGCTCTTCATAGTAAGGTGAAACTAGTGAACGACTTCTCATCTGGAAAGAAACTGAAGTCTGAAGGTTTCGACAAGAGAGTTAAGAGAAGTAGCACAAAATATGACGAAAATAACAGATGCAGCAACGAGACAGGCAGTTCAAAGTGCCTATGACGCCGTTAGAGCAACTGTTGTGGAAAGTCAAGAAAAAGAGTTACAACAGACCAAAACAGACCTAGTAAATGCTTTCTTAAGAACGAAAAGTCAGGTAGGACATTATGCTGCAGATGGAACATATGTGCCAGCTGGTGGAACTTATATACCACCAAACCCTCCAAGAGAAGCACCTGCACCAGGACTACCTAAAACATTTACATCGTCACATGGACACAGACACAGGCATGCACCAAAACCAACACAACAACCAACACAACAACCAACAGTTCAAAACACTGCACCACAACCAACAGTTCAAAACACTGCACCACAACCAACAGTTCAAAACACTGCACCACAACCAACAGTTCAAAACCCTGCACAACAACAACCACAAACAGAGCAAGGACATAAAAGAAGTAGAGAACAAGGAAACCAAGAATTCTTAAAAATGCTTAAAGAAGACTATGGTTACCCAGATACTATTGACTTTAGTGACAGATATAAAGAAGCTATTCGAAAGTTCAAGGAAGGAAATACTGACCCGAACCTATTTAGCTTTATGGTTCAGCACCAAATGGGATATAATTTCAAACCTGGAAAATACAAGCTCGCTAAGGGATATGATTTAATAGCATATCATCCAAATGACATGAACGAATTTACTCCGAGATATTTGGTGTCAGAGCTAAATGACAATTCAACTCTCTTCATGAAACGCGTAAAAAATAGAGACGGAACGAAAGAACAAAGGCTTATGAATGCGGATGACTTAAATAGGGAACTTGTTGAAAACGGTCTCGGAATATATGAAATGCCAGCAGATGAGGTACAAGAAACTCCACAGGAAGAAGTTCAGATACAACCAGACATGGAAGAAATAGTTCAGCAACAACAGCTAGAAGAGCCTGAAGGAAACGAACAAGTCCCTCCTTTGGAAACTAACTTCACAGAACTAGATGAAGATTTGGAACAGCCGAAAAATCTTGACCCTCAACAAGAGTATGCGGAGAATATGGAATCTTTCCAAGAGTCTAAGAAAAATTCGGCTGACATAGTAGAAGAATATCGAAAATGTTTGCCGACATACAAAAGACTCCAACACCAGATGAAAATATTCAGCATAGAATGGAAGTACTGAAAGAAAATGTACACAAATACAACAACCCTTTTTACTTACGACCATATAACGTTCAATCTTTGGCTGAACTCGGTGAAAATAAAAGGTTAAATTTCAACAAACATATAGAAATGAAACATTGTTTAAAGTTCATTCAGAACCTAACCAAGATGGAAACAAACCTACTTTTGTTTCTGCAGACTATGGAACTACAATGAGATGGGTCATAAAGCTAACCCGGATAGGTGGTTCATAAACTTACAACCTCAATTCCAAGAAGTTGTAGACGCAATGGAAGTGAATGGTGAACCAGATTTAGCTGGTATTTTCAGCGCGGCTTTAATGCCATTGAAAGATATGAAAGATGCAGATATTTTGGACCAGTATGAAATGAACATGGCTGATGGAAATATAACACCTGACGTTCTAGAACATTTATCTCAAAGAACTACACAGAACCATAAAGATGGTATTTTGGTGAAGAGTTTAGAAAGAAAGTTAGGGATAGAGAAGGAAGAAACCTATTGTACATGACCTTGCAAACGAAAGTTTACAAAATGTCATAAAAACTTACTTTGCAGACAATGAACGAGAAGGGATGAATATTTAAGAAAACTCAAATGGACAGTACCAAATGAAATGTTAGTATTGAAAAACATGTTCCTTGACAAAATAAAACCAACTACAGAAATAAATGACGCAAGACTGAAACATTGGGTAAAAGCTTTCCCATTCACAAAAGATATTGTTGGTAACATGGAAAGAAAACCAGAATGGCTACAAAAACATATATTTGGAAACGAGCTTATTCCATATGGACAAGCTCTGTTTGAAGAGCTTGAACCGGAAACTCAGGAAAGAGTCATGCAAACAATACGCGAAGACTCAAATACAAACTATGACAAAATCTTTCTAGGATATAGGTTACCTGAGATGGGCGACCAGAGCCCAAGGCAAAAGGACATGGGAAATTTACAACATACTAGGTGAACATGAGGCAAAGATGCAAACAACTTGAAGCAGAGGGCAAGTTACCAAAAGCGACACCAAAGAAGAAGAGTAGAACAAAGTGAAAATAGTGAAGAAGTAACTTCATCTAGTGAAAGTAGTGGCAATGAAGGAAAAAGAAGAGTTAAAAACTCAGTCAGGAAGAAAGTAAAGCTTGGTCCGAAAACAATTATGACAAATAAATCCAACTATTCTATATTTTTACCCATATGAAATGTACGCCGCTCAGAATATAACGCCAACAGTTTTGGATGCCATGAATGGAAATGTTTCCGAATGGTATAACGAATGCGACAATGCCATTAGAAGGTCAGAAATAGTTCCTGGAACTTACGAATATACAACTGCTGTTTCTTATGGAAACGTAGGTGAGTTTGGAGAAGGTTCTTCAACAACAGTAGATATTGCTTGCGACAGGTTTCATATATTTCTATTGACAACTCATTCTTATACGTGGAACAAGACATTGAAATAAAACCTTCTGCCAAGTTGTCTGACAAGAAAGGTTGCAATGGAATTTTTCTATGTCGGATACCAATATGCTCCAGAAGTTTTCATGGGATATAAGATATATTCTAACTCTGACTTAGTTCAAACAGTAACATGGGCAAACTATGAATGGTTCGCTTTGAGAAACTCAGTACAACCACAAGCTAGAGAACAAACAGACCAGTATGCAACTATTGAGAAAATAAGAAGACTTGACCCTAACGTTCCAGGAGTTTATGTTAACCTTTCTGGAAAACTGCAGCAGCAGTAACCAAAGTAAAACTGAAACTTAGAGTTCCTTTGTCATCTTTCCTCATCTTCAGGTTTTTAAGATACTTGCCAAACTGGGCAGGAAAAATTTCTATCGAACTTACTCCAAGCAAAAATAACTTAGTCATTGCACCAACGCAAGACCCATTCAGCATTACAGACGTAGAGGGAACAAATAAAACGTCATTCGCCGACTTTTGCAAAGACAAAGTTGACTTAGACTTTGGTTTCTCAAACTTCAACACTGAAGTAAACTATTATTTCAATGCTGCTGGAACTGCTTGGGACCCAGTTAAGTTTACATGCGAAAAATTTGAATGCAAGAGAATAGAAAGCAGACTTGCAGTCTATATGTTGGACCCAGATATTTCAAATGCTTTAGCTGCCAAATATATTGCAGTTCCACTTATGTTCCCTATACACCAAATATCTGTCAAAGACTTTGCAGGTGAAGTTGGAAACCAAAGTGCTGACCCAGGTGCAAGAACAGATATTGCTTTAACAACTGCAATGAAACATGCAGATACTATGTTTGTACTGTTCAGACGAACTATAAATGACTATTCTTGTTTCTACAACCCCGGTATTAAATATCATATAAACATAGATGGCAAATATTATCCAAGAGAAGAATATTCTACAGTTGAGGATATGAGGTCATACAACTTGACATTAGATGCTATGAACTTTAACAACAATTTCACAACAACCATAACCCTCAAATGCAAAGTCTATTATGCCATATGTGAAAAGTATGGACTCATACAGGAGGTCAAAAACTCAATATACAAATGGAGACCGTTCAAACTTTTTGGCTTAGCATTCCATTTGCTGACTCAGAAGACTTTATGGGTGGTATTTCAACTGTTGGTACAGTTCAAATACAATATTACTGGTGACAGAGACGGTCCAGATGAATTGAAAGCAAAGAAGTTTACAAAACCAATAGCACTTTTCACGGAAGATGCTCTTTTGAAGATTCGTTCGATGAAACCTGCTGGGGCTCCTCAGATTGGCATAACGACAGCTTCCATCGAGCAGTTTTGGCAGCAGCAGGTCAGTAAGTTGTTCTTGAACTGACTTCTCTCCGTCAAATATTGACAGTACGCCAGTTTTGACATAATATTGTATTATAAACTTTCCTTTAGAAATATCTGTAAGTTTTGAAGTTATATTTTTGTCTGCTTCAAGAACTTTCACCATTTCAGTTATACCAACTTTCTTTGCTTTATGAAAATATTTTGGTTCAGCAAAGACTGCTATTCTATAACATTTTCCATTGTTTGTATAAAGAACTATTCTGTCAATGTATTTGTATTGTTTGTGTGTGTAAACTTTGTTCTGCTTCAATTCGAAGAGATACTCAAATACGTCATCTTTTATTCTAAGTAAAATGTCATTTCCGAAAAATAGAAGCGTAAGTGTTTCAAAAGGTTTAATGGCGGTGGCAGATGTGAAGTTAAATTCACCAACTCAAACAAACAGTCAAAGTGTTGTTGTCAATGTCAAAGACAGAGATGTTGAAGTGGGGAAACCATACAAAGACCAAGATGGTATAACAATAGTTCCTGTAAAAGAACAACCAACATACCCTGAAGTTAGCAGAGACTTAAGTTCTGTTGCAGATATTCGAAACGACTACCAACAACTGAAAGACAAACTTCAAACTCAGGAGAAGATTTGTCAAGCTTTAGGTATAATGTTAAACTTGGTCGAACACAACCTGTAAAAGTGAACTCATATGTCATTGCACCTCATGAAGTTTTGAAAGAACTATTGAAACTTTTGACAGAGGCAGACGATATAAACATCAAAGAAATAGAACCCGACGTTAGTTGCTGTGGTGTTTCATATAATGTCATTGACAAGATATACGTTATGAAAGGAGGTGAAACGTTGAACTTAAAGTATAGTTTCCCAGACGTCATAAAAATATTTGACGACCACAACATTTCATTAAAATTTATTTGCTAAGTAAAAATGTCAAAACTTC